GCTGCAGCTCAGGCCCATCATAGCCTCCTTGGTATGTCTCGTGGGAGAAATTAGGTAGGGTATCCAGAGTATGCCATATCCACTGAGCAAAGGAGACACATCAGGAAATTGAGGGTGGCAAGATTGTGTCTGTGGCAAGGAATGTGTCTGATATATGTATATGACCCTCAGGTATACCCCTCTTTTTTCTTTCTCCCTCGCGGATTTTGGAAAAGAGGCTGGGCTGAGCCCAGTCCTCCATTCAGAACAGTTCAGCTTGCAACATCCCATACTCACTGTGCCGATGACCCAGGCATTGCTTCCATTTGTTTATTGTCCTTGGAATAGTGCTGAATTCTCTGAGGATGGAGGATCTCCTCTCTGTCATCATTCTCTGTAGTTTTGAAGCTCTTATGTATGTCAGCTTCCAAGATATTTATCATCTCTAGAAGGAGCTGAGGGCCAAACAAGAGAGGGTTCAGAAAGGCGGGCCCAGCTTTTCTAACTTCCACTGAGTTGGAGGGGGGTCCTCCCAGCAAAATGAGGACATAGTAAGGGGAGAGGCTGGAGGGAAGAACATTCTCCTCTTGGGAGAGGTGGCGTCTAAAGATGGGAGATGCAATTGTGGTGCATATGACGGCTCCTGAATTAAACATGTGAGGCAGGACACTAGGCCTTAATTATGTTTAAAGTGGGGAGATTATTAGTATTTCTGGAACATTATGGGATATTGTGAGACATTTCCAAGGCTAATGGGTAAAGCCTCTTCCCTCCAGTATCCTATAGAGATGGGGACTTATAGGACTGGCTCAATAACATGCAATTGATAGGCTCATGTGAGCGAATTGTCTGACAAACTTGTCAGCTTCTCAGAGTGGTCCCTACCATAAGATCAGGGATGTGCTGTTAAATAGCCATTCAGACTTTATTGACTTACTATTTATATGGGAGTATGTGGGAGGAAGGTCTTCTGATAATAAATTTTCACATAAACGCAAGAGGGAATTCAATCCTGCGCTGCTTGGGCATTTCAAGTGCTGAAAGAACTCTCACTTGAATGAAGAATGGCAGCAACCAGGTGGTCTTTACCTGTGGAAGCCTGTTGTCATTCAAATAAGAGTAAAATGACTGGCTCCTGTTGTGGTCCCTCTCCTCACTGAAGTCTTTGGGGGCTTCTTGCTGTGGCATGAGCTTGTGGCTGGGGGTAGTCGATGTCTTCCCTGTCTTCTGGTGGGGCCTGTGGGGTAGCACGATGGGGGAAAGCCCCCTCGTGCCCCTGATGACGATGTTGCCGCAGGGAGGCGGGAAGCCGCCGCGGAAATCATCCAGGCCGCTTTTTACAAACCGCCAGCGCTGACTGTTAAGGGAGTCTGAGAACCTCTGCTTAGTGCTACCTGCTGGAAAGCATCTTGATGACAAATTTTTCTTGTACCTGAATGGGGAAACCACTAATTAGTATAGAAAATACGCATTATAAGGAAGAGTGTTTTAAGACTTAGCTCACTTGTATTAAGAAAGTAGGAATAAAAGGCTAACCGTGTCTGGGCTGCAGCTTGCCATTTTAGCTCTACTGATTGCCCACTGGAAGTGGGATGTAGCAGTTGAGTTCAGTGGGTAGTGCCAAAGCCCAGGACCAAACAGGTAGCAGCGCTTGGGGTCTGCGGGCTCAGGCTGTTAAAAGGGAACTGGAAGGTGACATTCATGTTTGAGCCAGGACAAGAACTAGGTTACAAGCCAGGGGGCTGCTGCTTAGGTTTCTTTGCCTGCTTGCCCACTAACACATTTCACAGGGTAAATCTCTGATCTAGATAATAGCCCTGCTGCCTGCCAGCCTGGCTCAGAATGGGGCCAGACTCTGCTGTCTGCCTGTGATCTTTAAGCTGGAGTTTCTGGAGGGCAGCATGACTGTGCAAGAGGGACCAGCAGGCTAATGAAAGAGAGCATAACCCCACGTTCCCTCACTAGCCAGCCCTGGCTCCCTTGGTCCCGCTCACCACACGGCCGTGCTCATCCTGAGCGCTCCACACCACGAGGCCCTCGCTGCCTGGCACAGAAGGACAGGGCTCAGTGACTCTGGGATCACTAGGAGATGGTGTCCAGGGTGCCTGCGGAACCGGGAGAGACTCTCAGCCAAGGAACTCATTGCCAGGCTTGGGCTGCCTTCTCTGCTCTGTCCTTGTGGCTTGTGCCCCACGCACTGCTCTTCCCTGCCCACCAAGTGTCTCTTCCTGGCTCATCTTGACCAGGTCCTCCTCTGCTCTACCACAGTGTGTCCAGCATGGGCACATGTTTCATCCAGGCTTCCACACTGGGCATGCAGAAGGCCTGTCAGGCAGCACAGAGCTGCTTGCAGTGCTCATCAAACCAAACCAGAAGTACTTGATGATTATGAGTAGTTCCGTGGGCAAATTTTTGTATAACTCTGATTATGAGAAATATAGTTGTGTATGAATAATTTTTAAATGTACTATATGATCTATAGCCCAAATATTGTGTGTATGTGGCTTAGAATTTATGAAGGTTGTGATTATTTTGCAAGAGAGAGTCAAAGTATCTGAGTTAAGCAGGACCAAATTTCAGAAGAAATAACATTTCTGGTAATGTTCTCATTAGAGTTAATAAGAATTAATTTCCTCGGAAGGAAAAACAAGTGTTACAGGTAATTCTTATGTCCCTTAAAAAGTCACTGTGCTGAGTTTGGAAGCCCTTGATAAACATAAATCCTTCTGATGCACCTTCGCTTCAGGTGCACCCATATGGAGTTAAAAGGCTGTTCCACACACAGCAGTTCTGTTCACAGCCCTGTCCAAAGTCACTATTGAACCTGGCAGATTGCGGGGTATTTGTCCTGTAGTGAACTGCTTTCCTGCCAACAGCTAATTTGCAGCGTGTGGGAAGAATGAATGAAAGATGGGGTACTGTGATACTTGCTGCCTACCAGCTTCCAAGCCTTTCAGAAATTTCCCAAGTCTCAGCTGAAATTAGCAGGTTATAATTATATCATTATTGTTTAATTATGCATACAGTGCTAGAGATGTAGCTACTATGTTCATGGATGACAAGTGTGCTCATGAGCCCTGCGTGAAAGGCAGACGAGCTTCGTCTCTGAGAATGTTCTCCTTACCTAGTATTGATACCCTGGTTTCTCAAGAGCCTCTCTAAGACTGGGAGCATATTGGGTGAAAAGCTTCTGCTGTTTAATGACATGGAAGTTATCTGTGGTATGTTTTATGTTTTGTTAACGAGCAGGGCAGAGTTGAATAGGAGTTAAATTCCAGTCAGCATGCAAAGCAGAGGGGTGTCCCACCTTCATAAATGCACCAGTCCTCATACCTACACGTCAGTCCCTTTGAAGTTTATTTCTGCATTTGTTCTGATGGATATCCCCGGGGAAAATACGGCTGGGATCTAGAAACATGGCGATAGAGATGGAAGTAAATAGAGCACCAGGGACCCAAAGATGAATGGAGACTGAAAACATTATCCTGCAGAAGGAAACGAGTGAACAAGGCATAGTTTTAGGGAGGACAGAAACTTGTAGAGTATTTATTGAATTAAATACTTTTCAAGTTATGATTATACTCCCTGTGCAGATGAAGCTACACTTAGCTCTGGAAAGGCTCTTCTTGTTTTCTCTGTATGCCATTGGCTCTCAGTTGCTCCAGGGAAGCCACGCAGGGCTTGGATCCTGTTAAACCTGGTGTGAGCAGGTCTGTCAGCAGTGAAACACTGTGATGGAGAGCTTAAATCCAAAAGGGAGAGGAGCATGATTGTTATCTTGGGTGGAGAAGACAGCGGGTGCAGTCCTGGCTCAGGGCACAGGCCTGTCTCATAATTACTGCGCCACGAGACAAGCAGAGACGGATCTTCCTGTTCCAAAATCCCAGCGCTGTTGCAAAGGGAAAAGGCAGAGAAGGCCCTAATTTAGCATAAGGTGCCATTCCAAGAAATCTTTATGTCTTGTAGGAGAAGACATCTATTTGTAAAAGCTGCTATTAACTAGTGCCCAACAAAACCATATTTCATGGTTTAGGGAAGAGTTCATGGCAGCAGAGGGAGAATTCTCACGAAAAAATCTTGCAGGGAGAGATGTAGCTAAATTAGTGTTTGAAAAGGGATTCTAATCACTTAATTTGCTGCTTGCATTTTGAAGAAACAGAGTAAAGTCCACTGCTTTAGAGTGGGAAGCTTAACAAAACGAGGCCAACAGCACAATCTCTTTTCACAGCACGAGAGGAACCACAATAAATCTGGTTCCTGAAAGCTGTGCAGTGTGACCACATGGCCTCTAATGAGCAGAAGGGCCCACAGCAGCATAACAGTAACTCTGCAGTTGGAATAGCAGGTAGTAACACTTAGAAAGGAAAATGCTTCAGTCTGTTTTAGCAGGGAATCCACGCGTGGGTCCGATGGCTACAGCTATGGGACTGCAGCCCTGCCTTGTCAGGGTGCCTCTGCTGCCTTTGGTCATGTAGGCAGCCTGGATAGAGAGCAGGTAGTAGAGTTTCCTTTCTCTGGGAAAGGAGCCCTTGTGGAGAGCTCCTCTGGAGCAATAGTTGGCAGTTAACTGTCTTTTAAAGGAGAAATGGGTACGAGACATTACCTTTTTGTTAGTGGCTTAAACTGTGTTAGTGGGAGCTGGGCTTGATTTAGTTATGTCAGAATCTGAGTGCTATGAAGGCTAATTCTGTCCAGAGGCAACTTGTGTCCGCTATAGTCTTTTTTCCCCCACTCTTCTTTATGAGGAATAGCTGTTTTATCGCCTTTTTTTTTCTGTCAGAAAAGCTTTTAAAGGTGCCTCCTGCATAGCGAAACGGGCACTCGCAGGCCTGTCCCCAGCAGGGAGCGAGATGTGCGCCCTGCCACCGGGAGCTCCGTGACTGCCAGCGATTCTTCCGGGTGTTTCCCCGTTCCCGGTGCGCCAGACAGCGAGGAGCCCGAGGCCAGGGCACAAATGGAGGCCGTTTTCCGCGGCTCCTCCCGGCGCGGCGAGGCGATGCGAGGCGTGGCGAGGCGGCCGCCCGCCCCCTGCGCCTGGCCGAGCCCGAGCCCGGCGGCGGCAGTGACAGCCGGGACGCTCCTCCGCAGCAGCCATGAAGTCGCTGTGCCTCGTCACCGTGGGGGTGCTGGCCATGACGCTGCTCATTGCCAGTATCTCCTTGCTGGTGGCGCACGTCTTCCAGACCGTGGTGGACCTGCAGGTGAAGGAGGTGAGAGCCGGCCCCGCGCTCCCCCCAGCCCCGCACCCTCCTTTCCCCCGGCCCTCCTTGCGGCTTTTGCTCCTTGGCTCCTTCGCAGAGGCCCCCAAAGTGACCCGAAGGGCGGCAGGGAGGATGTTTCTCATCCCCCAGCCCTGCTTGGGGGCGGCTGCAGGGTGGCACTGACAGGGGTGCGACCCCGGTGGGACAGGGGCTGCAGCTTTGCCGGGCAGCACAGCCCCTGCGCGCCCGCCGGCAGGGCTGTGGGCAGGGCCAACGCTGGGTTGTCTTGCCAATGCACATCGGTGCTTGGGAGGCTGCTTTACAGACTGCAGCTGTGCTGAGGGGCCTGTGCTGGCAGCAGCACACGGGGTGCAGCAGGGATGCCTCAAGCTTTGCTCCCTTCTGCCCTTGCACCATCCTCCTCACGTGCTCTTGGGCACTCTCATAAGGTGGCTTGTTGTGCTGCTGCTGGAGCACAGCCCGGCTGTGGGCCAAAAGCGGTGGTGGTTCCCTCGTGCAAACGGTGAAAGTCTAGCAGTTTACCCCAGGGCTGCTTGCAAGAAACTTGAGGGCATCATCCTGGTGAGGTTACCATTGCAGGGCCCTCCTTGTTTATGCCCTGCCTAAGCTTTTGTTCTGCTGCTCCTTTGCGTTTATGTGGTGGTCCGGGGACAACGGTTAGCTGCCTTAGCTTAGTAACCTCCACAGATAACATTAGAAATTCAGTTCATTGGCAGTTTCCCTTAAAATAGCTGTGACCACTGTAAATGAATAATTATTAACTTGCCTACTCTGAAAAAATATAATCCCTGTTATTTAAACAGAGAAACCAGGAGTGCTGGTTTCTCTTTAGGAATAGTGATTTGGCCAGTGCTGCTGTTTCATTGGCACCGAAGTCTGGTGATCCCCATAGTGTCCTATCCAATTCCTTTCGTTGACATATTGTCAGGGAGCGTTTGCTAACCTAAAAACTGTATTGTCTTAACCTAAACCACTTTGGTTTCACAAAGGTAATTTTAGTTGGCAAGTTGTGTCACTTTGCAGCGTGCCTGTCAAGCTAAGGGGGTAGCCCCCAGAGGGGCACCATAGTCTAAACCGTCGTGCCGACTTGCAATGTGCCACCCACTTGTCCAAACAGCTCGTACGGGTAGTCCCGTAGTGTTTATTCTCAGATCCCTGCCTCTGCCGTGCTGGAGTGTAATCATGGGTAATACCTGAGTTATCCCAAAGTCATTTGTTCATCAGCCCATGCCTTTCTCTAGGCGATCTGGAAGCTGGGCGCTGTCATGTGAGTGGTAACATATGCAAAGTTGCATGCGTGTTGAACCAAATCTAAGCAGTGCAGCTTTGTGTAGACCTGAATGGTTCTCAAAGCAGTGCACTCCCTGCCACTCTGCTGATTCTGCTGCTTTCTATGCGAGGTGTTCTTACCCGATCTTGGAAGTTACTGTGTCTTGTGTAACCATTATGTACTTCTTTGACAATGCTGTGCAAATAGATGAATCTTACTTTGCCTTTGAAATGTGGCAAAATTTAAGCTTTTCCATCCCTCTTACTGCTCTGCAGCCCAAGATATTGAACATGAAATCTTATCTCAGTGCTCACGGATTTCACATTGCCTCTTCCTGGCCTCACTGATACCTCTGCCTTTAAGGGAGCTGCAGAAGAGTGACAAGATGAGGGGTGATCAGCACAAGCTGAAACACAGGAATTTGCACTTGGACACAAGGATAGAGGAACAGAGGGGGTACAGGAAGAATGGGGAATCTAGCAGGGTATCACACTGTTTCCTGGAACATAAGTAGGCGCATGTGTGGGGTGACACGGGAGGTAGGAGCACCTCTCCTGCAAGGCCTTCAAACCTTGTCCTTTTATTCTGTCTTCTTTGCCAGTCATACCAACTTTTTTATGAATTAGAGTGCCATGCTGGATCAGATCAGATGCCCATCTAAATGTTTATGCTATTGCTTGTCTCTCTCATGATTGCAATTAAATTCTATCATAGACAGAATCACAGAATTCTTAAGGTTGGAAGGGACCTTTAAGAGATCGTCTAGTCCAACCCCTCTGTACTCTCAGGGTCACCTCGACCATGGGGCACAGGATTGCGTGCAAGTGGGTTTTGAAGATCGCCAGAGAAGGAGACTCCACAGCCTGTGGGCAGCCTGTTCCAGTGCTCTGTCACCTTCACTGTGAAGAAATTTTTCCTTAAGTTTTTGTGGAGCTTTTGATGCTTCAATTTGTGGCCGTTCCCTGTAGGCCTGTCAGTGGCCAGTGAGGAAAAGAGATTGGTCCCATCTTCCTCACTCCCTCCTTTGAAGTGTTTATACCCACTGATCAGATCCTACCTCAGCCTTGTCTTCTTCAGGCTGAACAGGCCCGGCTCTCTCAGCTAAATTATTAAAACTTATATATAAAACTCTGCCCTGGTATTAGCACATTTCACAGCTCTAGAAAGCTGCAGAAATTTCATTTTCTAACAAAGATTGGAAAATGTACAGTACTTCCTCACCCCCATAATCACCACCACCAACAACTGTTAGGCTTTTGAGGGAAGATGTGCTCCTTACTTCCTGTGTGTGAAGAGTGATCAAGGAGGGAAAGCCAAAAGAAGGAAATAACGGCACTGGGAAAGGTGAACCCCCATTGTGCTACCAGGTAGGGATGAACAGTCACGTTGTCAGCACCATTTAGGTTGTGATCGTGCAGTAAGGTACATCTGTGCATCTTTGTGAGAGAGTATCTTGGAGTTAAAAGCCTACCCTCTAGACCTGCCCCCAGGACTAGTGACCAGCTTAAAGTTTTGGAGTACTTGGAGTTTTAACTCTTATTCTTGCATGTGAGTATCAAGAGAAGTCTGATTTCCTGGCCTAACACAAGGCAGCAGCTGTAACTCTGACAGAACTGTAGCTTTCGTGTATTCTGTGGATAAGAGCAGTCCTATGCTCTATTATTTCACAGCCTGCCCAACCTGTGGGACAAGAGTAGTACCAGTCATGCAGCATCAGATGTGCTCCAGTCTGAATAAAAGCAGCACTAAGCTACCAACTGAGGTGCATGGATATATGTTTGTCTCAAGAATACTGAGTCATGTTTTTTCTCTCAAGTGCAGGCTGTGTGATACCATGTCAAGGATGGAAATATTCCTGGCAAAAAAAAAAAAAAAAAAAAAAGGAAGAAAAGAGCATCAATATTTTGTTATTTGAGAGATTGGTGGAGCCAGATTCCTGCTCAGAAGTTTGTGAATCTGGCCTTACGCTAGTGCTGTCAGTGTGCAGTCTAAAAATAGACATTGTCATTTCTGTGGGAGATCCAAATGCTGCCATGAAGATCCTGGTAATAAATCACCAGATTATTCTGGCTGTTTCAGTACCAAGTTGCTCTCCAGCCCACCTCCCTAGAGATCATTTACAACTTCAGAGTCTCGGGAGCGGGAGCTTACATCAATCTGCCTGAAAAAACTCCTACTCCTCCATTTTCTTCCTATTAATACTATGTATCTGCATGTAGTCTGGAACATATATTTATAGTTTGTTGGAAATCCATATTGCATTTAACAAAGCTACATCAAGGGGAGGAGCTTCTTGTTCTCAGCTCAGAAAATGGGAGCAGGGGAAGTAGCATCTTTGCACATTATAAATGTGTAGCCCCTGTCAAAAGTAACGGGAAGGAGCTTAAAACTGGAATGAATATGACCAGAGTGCACTTGTTTTTACTTACACACACACACACACACACACACACACAGAAAAAGTACACAGTGAAAAGTAATCCCTCATTTGAGTTGTCTCATAAGGGAGACCTTTTAGTACTTGATGAATGGCCTGAATATGCTTGGTCAGTAGTTGCTGGGGAGCAGTATCAATTCCTAGATATGAATGATTAGGCTTAAGACAGGTGATAATTAGTCTGCTTATCAACATAAAGCTTAAACTCACTGTGTTTCATGGACATGAGAAATAGGAGCTTTATACAAGCTCCCCAGGGAGGGAGCAGATCAGACTTTATGGCCATACAACCTCTGAAATGATTGATTTAATAATGTGGTTATTTGTGTATGGAGAAAAGCTGTCACGATTATCACTGTCTCAGCTACATTGCTGTCTCATTCCCAGCTTTTTCTGCTGGAGCCAGAGAAACTGTGGACCGGATTCAGTGAGATTTTCTGTTCCTCATCCTGGAAACCAATTTCGGAAGGACTCTTTCTGGACACAGGGATAAACCTCCTTGGTGCAGATTACGAGAAAACAGGATCAAATGCATTGGGCCTTGTAGACGCTCGTAGTCCCAAATAAACATCCAAAACTCCTGAAACTCTGGAACATGCCTAAAATACTTCTTTTTCCTTTTTTTCTTTTTCTTCTTTTTTGCTGTGGTGTGTGTAGAATACATGGTTAGAAACCCTCAGAGGAAAGCGGTCTTCTATATACTGCCAGCTGGGTTGGCTTTCATTGGCATTCAGGAATACTGCTGCTGTTCAAACCTCTTGCCAATGCATTTTTCTTTGAAACAGTCTTCTCTTCATCTAATCACTGAAAAAAGAACATAAAATACAGAGGGAAGACAACTACTTAAGTGGAAGACCCAGAAGAAATCCCGAGGCAACAGTGGCCGGTGGCTTTAAGATCCCGTAAATTGCATCCATGAAATGGCAGCTGTCCAATCTGCCCTGCTTTTGGACTTGCATTTACAATATTTGACTTGTTTTCTCCGAAGAATAAAAAGAACAAGTGTTCATGAGGCCCATTTAGTTGCAAATTATTTCCCTCTTCTTCCGCCTACTGATAGTGTAGTATCAAAGATATGTTTTTCTTTGTACATATTCCTAAAAATTCTTCTCTGCAGGTTATTCTCCCCCCCCACACACCTTGTTACCACAGTGTCAGTATCAGTAGCAAAAATCCTGCATTTTGGGATTTGTTGTTGGAATGCTTTTATAATTGTGGATTTTATCTAAACTGAAATGGTAGTGTTATGGAGAGAACCTATATTATATGCTCCTAATGGAGACGCATGCCAGGGCAGTTGTGACGTTGCTTATAACCTGAGTATCCTCGTGGGTTAAAGAATTGCTGATTCATTGCTGAAAAGTTTCTATGGTCAAATAATCTTTTATAGATGTTTTCCTTTAAGTCCCTGTTTCAGTGGATGCAAAATAAGTGTTACTCGGGGGATTTGGAGATACATGTGCTTCCATCCCTGTAGGCCTCATACTGTTGAGTTCCCTATCTCTTATCCAGAATGTGGCACATGTCTCACTGTGTCTCTAGGCATTTCTGGTTGATAGACCTTAAATGGGTGTACTTGGCTTAAAGAGGTTTGTTGTGTAATAGCAGCCAAGTCTTCACGGTCAGAAATGTAGAATTTGTAGAAATGGCATTTCCAAGCCTCATGCCCATGCTTGTTCTGAGAGCACAGCATCTATTAAAATAGTAATTTTGTCTTTGTGTTATTCCAGGGAACAGTATTAAGAAATGGCACGGAAACCTTTGAAGCCTGGGAAGATCCTCCTCCACCAGTCTACATGCAGTTCTACTTTTTTAATGTGACAAATCCTTTAGAAGTGCTTCAGGGAGCTACTCCTCTTGTGGAGGAAGTAGGGCCGTACACCTACCGGTAAGACCATTTCACTGTTTTTCTTTTTTTTTCCTGTTTCTGTGCTTTTTTGTTTTAATACAAAGAAACCTATTGGTTGTGAGGAGTCCAAGAAGTGGGAGGACACTGGGGATCCCATTCTAGCAGAAAACCCAGCAGTTGATGTGTGCTTGAAAGGGAGAATGGGTGGTTATGTGCCACTTGGACACCACAGCTAGAGTGAGACAACTTGCAATCTGTTCCAGATTCAACTGATCAGTTATGTTTAATTTGGGGCAAAGCATAAAAATGTTCCTGTGCTGCTTTTCATTAGCTACTCCAATCCATAGGAAGTTCTCTGCATACTGGGCTGCTGCCTTAGGAGGCACTGACTGGTTGGATGATGTTTTGGAGTATGTGGTGATAACCATGTGCATCAACATGCTTAAACATGTCGTTCATATTTTCACTTGGAAATTAGTTCCAAGCTAATATGTAGCAAATTGCATCAGTTAAATATGATGCTAGTGATATTCCTCATCCAACTCTCCCTGTAAATCCTATTTAGATTAAGACCTAGCTACTGTTTTTTTACAGAAAGCACATGCAATGATAGAGCTTGCTATTTCTCCTGGACTCTTCTTGAACATGGTTAAAACGCATATAATGAGAAACAGATGAGAGCTCTCGCTGTTAGTCTTGCTTCTGGTCATTAACAGTCACTCCAACGAGGCAGCAATTTAGCGTCTTTACAAGCTGTCTTTACCTAAGTTGCAAGATGGCTTGAGATCAGGCTGTCATTTCTAGAAAAAAATCCTGGAGGATGAAAGGGAGGGCCTCACAATTAGGCAGCAGTGCATCCTTTCTGTTGGGCAGGTAAGTGGGACATGCTCCAGATGTCATAGGACTGTATGAGGCCACATGGGCCCATGCCCAGACAGCTCTGTGAAGCTGGGCTGCACAGAAAGCCCTGAGGGGGACTGGGCTGGTGGTGCAGCTGGCTGGCCCGCTCCGTGCCTCCGGAGGGGCTCCCTGGGAAGCCTTCCCTGCCGCACGCAGGGGAGCCCGCAGAGGCTGGGGGCCGGTGATGCCAGCCCTCGCTGCCTTGTTTATTGCTGCCCGAGCCAGGGCGGCTGCGCGTGCCAGTGTTTGCTGTTTCAGTTGCTTGTGGTTTGGGAGCTTTGCCTGCTTCCGACGTGTCTCAGCAGGATTTGTTTCTGTTGTGCTCTGCCTGACAGAAGAAGTGGGAGCTGGGAAGGGGTGTGCACTTTTCCAGCAGATTCTTGAATCCTCCCGTGGCCGTTGCTGCTGACTGTACAGAGTGTGGGCAGTGGGAGGAGTAGAGAGGAGGCGTGCAGGGAGAAGGAGGGGATGTTGCAGACATACTGCATGTTCAAGCCAGAGGCCAAATACCAGGTCTGTCTCACAAGCCTGGTGTAGCAAAGCTTTCAAGAAACGGTTAAATTTCAGCATGTGGCAAGACCCCTGAAACCCCCTGAAACGAGATGCACAGTTGAGTGTTGTTATGAAATGAGGGGTTGAGGAGAAAGGCTGGAAGGGAATCATCTCAGACAGTCAAGGGGGAAAGCTCTTGTGAGAGATGGGAGTCTACGTGACGCAGCTAATGTGAATTGCTTCCAGCATGCTGAATCTGGAAGCAGTTTAGAGTTCTGCTTCGCATTGACTGGAAACCTCAAGTAAAACAGAGCTAGAATCTGTAGCAAAGGCATAGCAGTGCATATTTTTCTAAAACTTAGCAGTCCTATCTACAGCATATAAAATAATTCCTTATAAAGTACAAGTTGCTTATCTGCCCAAGCCTACTGAGTTCTGGCCTACTGATATTGACTGATCTTGCCCACATATACATTTTTTTGTCTTCAACATTTGAGGTCTTCCTTCTTGCATACCTGATCAGGGAGTATTATTTTCTTCTCTAGCCCTTTTCAAATAGCAGAGTCTTCTCAGGTTAACTCTGGCCTATTTTAGGACAGTTACTTCGCATCTGTCCATTCCCATCTCCTCAGCATTAGACTCTGGAGCAGGTCACTGTACAGGAGGCTCTGGACAAATCAAACTACAAGTGTTTCCGGACCAAAATGTTTCCCAGCTGGCAGGGATGCTGATGTGCTGTTTCTGTAAGGGAAATGGGAAACGGTTGGGTTTTAATAAGGGAAGTTTTACGGGCCTGTCCAGTTTGCTTTAAATAGAAAAACTGAACCAAAGTAACCCTTAATGCTGCCTGTCAGTAAGCTGCATGAATAGACCTAGTCTGAGAGAGAACCTAGGATCTAAAAATGCATGAAATGAAGCACAGCGCTATGTCTGAGCACCTAAAATTTGCTCAGAAAGCAAGGTAATGCTTGACAATGCTTAACAAGACAACAAACTATTGAGTGAATATGGCCTTGTGAAATAGTCCGTTTCCCCTGAAATTTACACCAAAGATTCACGCCAGGAGTAGCCAACCTGTTACTTCTGTTTTCTGGTTTAATGAAGACAAATGTATCGGTCTTTCAGGACCTGAGACAGCCAGTTCTGCAGAATTCTGTTTCTTGTTTGTAAGATGTTAGTGGCAATGAATTGAATTATAGTTATGACCTATGTTTCAGACTAACGAAGGTCTGACTTCCTAGCAAAGACAGGATATAGCGTTTGATGTTTTGCGCTACTAGACTTGCTTGTCAGCAATTCTGGGTTCCCCTTGATGCTTATCTCAGTGCATAGACACTAACAAGAGCAACTGCCCAGGCCATGAGCAGTTCAGGGCAAAAAATCAGTTGATTTTTGTGGTGTCAAGGATTCCTGTACCAGAAGAAGAGTCGCCAGGAAGTTTGTTTGCCAGTTGTGTCGTATGTAAGCCAAGAAATCCTAGTGCAAAATACTTAGATATAGAACATTATGGTAGATTCTTAGGTTGGATTAATGAGACTTAAACAAACCTCACATCTTGTTCTGTCTGGGAGTGAAGTTTGCCTGTAGCAATGAGGCAGAAGTATAAATTTCAGTCTGTATTTCAATATTTCAAGGGCAGACCCACATGAGGTGCCAGTAAATCCTTCTGTAGTGTCGTTGTCATGTTTCCTCGCAGGTTTTTAAAGACATGGTAAATGTATAAGTGCAATGAGTGTGTGAGGTGCCATTCTGGAAGGCACCCTGTAAAGTCTCATTGACCAAATGGGCACAAAGGGAGGTCTTCCCGCAGACAGCAGCAGGAGCAGAGATGGACTAATTCCTCATGAACTGTAAATCCGAGCCGGTGCGTGTTTTAAAATAGTACAATTAGTTTAAGTTAATTGTAGTTTATATTTTTTTCACATGTTTAACTTGCTTAAAGAACCAATTCTTTTGTTTCTCAGAGAATACAGACCAAGAGTGCATGTTCAGTTTTTGGACAACGGTACAAAAGTATCTGCTCTGAATCCAAAGACGTATGTGTTTGAACCTGAGAAATCAGTTGGAGACCCTGAAGTGGATCTGATTAGAACAATTAATATTCCGGCAGTGGTGAGTTCTCTTTGATTTATGCTTGGAAATCATCTTAAAATACTTGAAAGCTAGCAGATTGTTGCTTCTCACTGTCTCTCCCCTTGTGGTAGATAAAGAGGATTCAAGAACTAGAGAGACAGGTTATGTCCAATATAGATAATGCCTTCAGTTTTGGAAGTTGAATTTTGGGATGGGTTGGGTTTTTCTGTGATGTTCCTCCCTTGCTTTAGGCCTGTGTACTGTCAGTGCCTCATTCGTACACTGATACACACTTCAGAGATGAGGGGAAATCAGGCCTGTTGGGTTTTGAGCAGCAAGTGAAAATAGGGCATTAGTGATGTCAAACACATAGAAAGAACTCAGTTCAACAAGAAAACTTGTATTTTTTTTTAAATGAGAATTGCAAAAATTGTCTCCAAATCTGCATCTGAAACTGCAAAATGACATCTAAAACAGAAGTTTCAGATGCAGCTGAATGAAAAGGTGGTCTCAGAATTCAAGCTAAAAAAAGGCATGCCAAAGAACAGCCGATGAAAATACCATGCAAAGTAAGTTTTGTTTTAGTGGTCAGAGACAGACCCCTGTATCTGACCTTGCGCAGGTACATCATGAGAACAGACACGTATAAAGTAGTCGCACCTTGTGCATGTAATTAGACTCACCAAAATAGTGTTTAGTGAGTAACTAAGCCTTTAGTTTCCTTGCTGATTTATTTGACTTCAGGTATAGGATACATTCATTCCTATTTGTTCTCCAGCATTTTTCAAAGCAGTTGTATGTATGAAGAAGTTGATTGTATGAATGAATACATAAATACATAAATATGTTTTATATAGACCTAAATAGAACTGAGTTTACTATGGATTTGTAGGTAATATATTTACTATATTTACTTTTCCCCCCTTGCATTTAAGAGTTGTTAAGTGTTATGTCTTGTTCATATTTTTGATCATGCTACTCTGTAGCAAGCAGTACCAGAACTACAGTTTGGTTCACCCAAGTAATATCCCATTTTTGTGCGTGTGTGTATTTAAAAATGTGTTGCATAACCAGTTGCCAGCTACAAAGGAAACAAATGTTGGCATTGTTTGCATCTTGGGGATATGGCGCTCTCTTCATTTGTAAAGCCAAGGGGCTGTAAACTACCGCCTCCTAAGGATAAAATGTAAAAGTGTCTCTGGTTGTAAACAGTGGTAAAATTAAGGCTGTTAGGAAGTGGTTTTGCATGTTTCACTTAGAGTCCAGTCTTAAGAATACAACAGTTGATGGCATGTAACCAAACTGATCGTGTGCCAGCACTTGGCTGAATGGGAATCTGCAAGAGCACGTCCTTGGGGGAGAAACAGCTAAAGTACCTTGTTTGCTGCGAGTAGAAATAATGGAATGATTTCACTCCACGTGCCCATGAGCCTGTGTTTGCATGCAGCTGCTATTACCTATTCTTCTCTAAATCTGACTGATTTTAATCCACTGGCAGACAGCGATGGAGATGACCAGATCAACAGCTCTTCAGTTTGCCACGGAGGTGCTGCTACTTCTATACCAGGAATCCCTGTTCACCGTGCGCACTGTGCATGAATTACTGTGGGGCTACAAAGACAGGCTTCTCTCAGCCATTCATCTCTTGCATCCTGAGATTGATCCAGAATTTGGTTTCTTCAATAAGGTATCTGGTATACAAGATTTTCAGAGGCTTTAAGAAGGAAGTCGTGTCGTTGCTACGGAGTTGGAATTCTCCTCCTGATGAGTTGAGAAGGACGTAGGTGAGCTGAGGCCAGGAGATGGGCTGCAGGGATAGCAAGAGGATTTCACTGCTTCCGTTTGGCTCTCTCTGGGTACTAGGTTGAAGCAGAGCTTTGAGTGTTTTATCTCCTTTTTCATTCTCAGGTAGGCAATAGCTTTCCTCTACTGACGTAAACCACCTCGCTTTGCCTGTGCTTGCCTGAGTAACATGCTCCTTGTGGGGCCGGTTATGCAAACTACTAGAAAGTTTTCCTGTCCAATCCTTTAGTGGTAATGGGTTGAATTTGCATGTTATTTCTGTGCTGTAGCCATTGCTGGCTTCCACAACATTTCTTGTTGCAAGACAGTCTGGACTATGAGGACCAAACTTTTTTTGGAGAACTTAGGTTCTTTTCAAGAAGTTTGGTATTTTTTGTCAAGGGATGTTTCTTTTAGTTAAAACTTCCAAAGCAGAACTGTTACGTTTCCTTCCCTCGGTATGGGAGGTAGGAAGATATAGTTTAGTCACTTCCACCTTATTTATATTCAAGTGGACTTGAGCAAATTGCCTTGACCTCGGGGCAAGTCAATCACTCCCAAGGCAGATTTGAAGAAGCGACGAGAGCTTAGATGGCTGCCACTCCACTGTAGTTACCAGTCAGGTTTTGCAGAACAAGTGGAGTGATTAAAATTAATGTTTCTCTTTCTAGATGAATGGAACTGATGATGGAGAATATGTTTTCCTGAGTGGGGAAAGGAACTACCTAAACTTTTCAAGGATTGTGGAATGGAAAGGAGAAGAGTAAGTTTTTCTTCAGTGTGGTCAGACTTCTGTCAAAATCTGCCCCCTTCACATTTTTGATGGGCATAAGCATTCCGTACAGAAATGCTTCTTTTATTCCAAAGGTGGTGGTGGTTCTTAGCAGCTTTAGTTTCATATCATGCCCCCACTGCGTTTGGTGACGTATAGCCATGAAAAGAAAAGTAACACGTATAAGAGGAGCTGTTGTGGAGAAATTCTTACTTCCCTATGGCTCCATTTTAAAGAAAAGATAAATGCAATTGATGTCATTTTTAACTCCCCATTTCTTTGCTAGCAGACCCAAGACATTAAGATTTAGGACCTACAGGTCTGATTCTCATTTGCTCAGATTGTTGGCTGGCATGTCTGACCAGCATTTAAAGCTCTTTTAACCCTTTCTCTTTTTGCTTCATTTACACCAGGTCATTGAACTGGTGGACAACAAAGACATGTAACATGATCAATGGAACAGATGGGACATCCTTCCACCCATTGATTAGCAAAGATGAAAACATTTATATCTTTTCTTCTGATTTCTGCAGGTAAGAAGATTTTTTTCCTCAGGCTTTAAAGCAGAACACATAAATGTATTCCTACTGAGATTTCATGCTTTTCTTGCCATTATTTTAGTTAACAGCATTTATATTTTGCATTCATTCATGCAAAGGGCAATATTTAAAACAAACAAACAAACAAAAAAAACCCACACCCCAACAAACATTAAATTAAGGACGAGCTATATCTAAAAAAAAGGTCAAGTGAAAATTTGAGAGAAGACTGGAAAGCCAGACTCGGCTGCCCTACAAGATCTAACGAGGGGAATAGAAGCACTTAAAGAAACCTTGCCAGAAGCTTCTTTCCCTCAAAAACCTTCCTCTCTGCCCTATTTGAATTACTGACTGGAAGCAGTGCAGCAAGATGTACAAGAGCTTTGTGTCTCCTTCCTTATATTCCACTTAGTGGCCTCCTGCCTTCCAGGTTTCTGTGTGTGTCTGTGAAGAACAAACCAGTCTGCAGTTCCCTCCTTCAATTAACACACATGTGTGTTAAACTCAGTTTGGAGCTTAGGAATTTGTTCCTCCTTTCTGTTTTTCCCTTGCGTGGCTCTGTTCTTTTCCTTGTCCCTCACAGTAACACGTAGCAGCACTGCTTCACAGGATATGCAGCATCAAGCTGAGTGCCAGAGTGACCCTCCAATGCTGAAGTCAGTCACGATTAGCACAGGACTGTCCATTTTGTGCAGCAGCAGAAAGGCAAGATGTGTATGTGCTGATCAAAAACCTATTGAATTTAATATAGGAGATCATTTGAGGGAGCTTTAGGCCAAGTGTGCAGTTAAGTGTAAATTTGCAGGCATCAGCAAGGAGAAATTTGCAGCAGGTGACAGTGTTGCTCAAGTCTAACAAACCTGGATCTGTTTTTCCTTCCCTACAGATCTTTCTATATGGTGTATGACAGCTCAGGAAGCGTTGCAGGGATCCCAACCTACCGCTTTGTGCCCTCTCCCAAGGTGTTTGCCAACACTACTGTTAACCCGGACAACGCCGGATTCTGCGTGCCGCCAGGAAACTGTCCTGGAACCGGCGTCCTCAACGTCAGCATCTGCAAGCAAGGTAGAGTGCCAAGCAGGTGACGCAGCCTGGGAGGGCAACAACGTCTTTCTCTTTTTGTCTGAAATACATGAAGACAATTTGACAGAATATGCCTGTCAAGTTGTGACTGTGGTCAGTGAAATAGGTCACCGAGAATTGAATTGTTGGTGTGTTGATGGTAAAATTACAGTAGTGAGGAAATGTGATCCGAAGGGTTTGTGTGAGATGCCATCCATTCGGCAGTGGTTTAGCTAAAGGAATTGGAGGAAATGGAAGTACCAGGATGCATACTGAGCAGCCTGGGTAGTTACACTCCACTGCTACCCAGGTAGCTTTTGCAGACGAGTAGCTGAACAAAAACAGGGCAGAAGACCCCAGATCAGCCTGAGACAGGAAGCCATGCTGACTACTGCAGGAGAGTCAAACCGGCTTCCTCTGAAGGCAGAGGATCTGAGCATCAGTTCTGTAGCTCCAGAAGAGACTTTCTTTTACAATGGAACAGATTTTGGGAGTCCTGTAAGAACAACTTTAAGTTGCCTTGGTAAAATGATGACTTGTTCTCTTTTCAGGTGCTCCAATATTTCTGTCAGCTCCACATTTTTACCAAGCAGATGAAAAATTTATTGAGGACATAGAGGGCATGCACCCAAGAAAGGAATATCATGAGACATTTGTGGACATCAATCCTGTAAGTAGGACCTTAGTGTTATTTATTTATATTGATACAAGCAAGTCCAAAAACAAAGGTGCAAGCCTACTCCTTGAATAGTAGCAACACAGGCCCATGTCTTCGGAGATGCTCTGCTAGTTTATATGGAATTGATCTATTGAGGTTTCCTTGTGTGGAACAAACTCTGATGGATAATAAGAAATAAAATGCTTGTCTGCTGTGCCTATGCAATTAAATATGCGATCAGATGGGGTCTAATGATGAGATGCAGGGATTAAAATATTTCCCAGCAGTAAATGAAGCTATTTTTTTATACATCTTTCCACATCATTACTGCTTTTGACTTCCCTTGCTCTGACCTCCCCAAGCTAATGTCACTCCCCCAACTGAAGCATCTAGTATGTGGCCTGAAAGAGCAAAGCAATAAAGATTCAAGGGATGTTGGACCCAATTTAGATAGCATGGAGTCATGTAAGGAGAGGTACAGAAGTGTGATGTCTGTGTCAATTACGGGAGCACGCAGAGTTCTGGGTAATCTCAGTGTGGGATGACAGAAAGAAATGGAGCAGGCGATTCCAGTTTGTTGTCTGTGCCATACTGGAAAAGAGAAAACTTTGGGATATTGCTCAGAGTTAACTCTAATGAAAGCAACACAAGAATCTTAATGTTGTGCTTAGTTTTAGGGTAAAATGGGATTCCTTATAAGCTGATCCTTAGTCTGCCCTGAGCCTGTGTGGTGCTACCTTGTACGTCTTGAAGGTAGCAGCTTGGAAAACAACAGGTTTTACCCCCGCTTTTCTGGTTCCCTGCTTTTCTGGGAACAGTGTGTGTGAATTATGTTCATGTGCCCTGTCCAGTCCCGCTCGGCAGCTACCCAGGGGCCCGTTCCCTGGGAAAGCAGAACATGCTTTCCCTGGCAGTGCCTTGGGGAAGTTGGAGTCGATGAGTAGGCCTAGTAGAGCATTTTTAGTACCTAGTGGACTGGAGTATTATGCTGTTCCCTAGACAGCCACATCTGGCTGCAGACTGAGGGAAGGAGCAAAATCATGACCTACTTAGTTGACAGAAATGCAGTGCTGTGACTCACGGAGCTGTTATGTGCAGCAAAAGCAGGAGGAAATTGCCTACTTCCTCTCTCTGGGCTCTAGGGCATGTGCTGTTGGGGATGTCAGAGCACTTGTGGTGGATGGCTCCGGTGGCTGTTTGCTCCCACTCCCTGTGGTCAGTAGTGACAAGTCATAGTCAGTTATCTGTTTTTTCCCTTTTTTTAAATAAAGGTTTGTCTTATGGTAGAGGCATGACAGCTTATTCAAGCAGCCCCTGTCTTATCCTCACGAAATTTGTACATGTTAGCTAACCTCTGGACAAGAGAGATCAGGCACTTGAAACCCAAGCTCAAGTGGTCGCAGAAATGCTTAAAATGCCTCACAGAGATTTGCCAACAGTATTGAAGGAGTAGAACTATGAGCTGGATGTGGTCACCTTTTCCAAAACTGCAATGGGATCAGAAAGAAGGGGGATCCCTCTGCACCCTCATGCGAGTTTGCACAGCACAGGCAGCACGATGGCCACTTCTCTCCCACGCAGCCTCTTGATACCACTTAAGCTTAGGTGGCAGTGTAGAGTCCAGATAAATGAGTTTCAAGAGCATATTGGTTGAGGGATACAAATTACACTTTGAAGTGGGTCTTTTCTTCTTTTAAACACTGATCTGCCACATGGCCAGCTCAACCAGTGCACATATTGTGTCACTGGTCTCCAAGCAGGTCCATGCCGGTGTAAATACTAGTTGGCATACTTGTAAATTCTTCTTATGTTTATTGTTTTTAATTTGCTCTTCCTTTGTTTTCCAGCTGACAGGGCTGGTCCTGCGAGCAGCCAAGCGGATGCAGATCAATGTTCACGTCAGAAAATTGCATGAATTTGTGTAAGTGTTTTCCGCTGCTGAGTGTATATCTCAAGTATGTTTTAAAAAGAGTTGTTGCAGCTTATCAGTGTTCACATGGAAACCAAACAAGCAGGTATGAGTCCAGACAGAGTCTGGCGTGAGCAGTGTCATACATCAGCTCAGCCTCTGAGATTATATTTATTGGCATAGTTTTGCTGTCTGTTTTAACTTGTAAAGAAAAACAACCCCCGAAAATCTTATTTTATCTACCTGGTCCTCTTGAGGTGGTGGGTAACAGCTCTGTGCAATGCCACTGTGTTATTTTCTAGTGTCCAGGAGCTCTTAGCTTAACACAGCTTATCAGCGAGCTGTAATTTCATTGCACCAAACTTGTATTTTTTTTCACTTTTAGCTGCTCTCTGCCTGTTGTACCGACAATAGTGGCAGTGTTAAACATGAGTAATGTTCACCTTCAGCTTAGCTTAGCATTCCCACTGCCTGAAACAAATTTGCCTTTCAGTCTGTTAATAGTAAGCTTCTTAGGGGCCCATCTTTTTCTCTCCACACCAAATCCTCTGGTTATGTTATTGTTTCCCCCTAAAACATTGATTTCTCCCTTAGAGGCTGAGGTTGATCTACTCTGGGGGAGAGGTGAATATTAACAATAAAAGGCAACCCAGAATTTGTTTAGAGGCAGTTTCTTCATTAGTTTCCTCTTGCAGTCAGCCTTCAGAAGCTGTTGAAAAAGTTAATAAGATGTGAAAGCATAATCTCTTTTTTTTTTTTTTTTTTTAACACAGTGAAACAGGCAACATCCGAACGCTGGTTTTCCCAGTAATGTATATAAATGAGGTAAATTTTGTTATTTATTTGCAATAATTTTATGCTTACAGAAACACTGTCTTTGAGGTGACCAAAAAATACATCTGTTCCAATTTTTCTTGATGTTTTGTGCAGTGAGAGATGGGAAGCTGTTTTTGGCAGACTGTTAGGCGAAGTCCTGCAAAACACCCTGTGTCTCATAGTCCTTGTAGTTTTAAAGATACTGACTGTGAGTGAAACGGCTGCTTAGAGGAGTTGGGGGCTCACAAGGTTAGACCTTCTGTGGAGCAGATTTTTGTTTGTACTGCACTTGGATCACAGAATTGATCAGACGATACGGAACTAGATTGGGTGAACCATATTATTCTTCCTGACCTATGGTGTTGTGATCTGAAACGTAGCATTCAGCATCACTGCTTTCTCTAGGAAAAGCAGATGAGGTATTCCCCTGGCCACACGAGGAGCCTGAAGAATTCTTATCAGAGAACTACCAAAAAGTAATAAAGCACAGGCAGAGAGTTGAGGGAGTGTTGTTTCCTTCACAGCAATACAGTGGCTCACTATATAGAAGAACAGAAATTAATCTTTTTTCTTTCCATGTTAATCCCTCTCTACTCCAGAGCGTGCTGATCGATGAAAGGTCTGCCAACAAACTCAAGCACGTCCTGCTGGAAGCCAGCGTTGTAACTGGAATCCCCTTCGTTATCATGACTCTAGGAATTGTTTTCGGGATTGTTTTTATTGTGCTGGTGTGCAGGTCCCGTGGTATAAGCGAAGAGGTAAGTAGCATTTGAACTTATCCTTGTTTGCTCTGTGTTTGCCTGTCTTTGATTTTTCTTTTGGTTGGTTTTACTTTTTCAGTTTTCACAAACTTTTTTTTTATATGTTGTTTTTGTTTAAAATGGCCTCTCTAGGGAAGGGAAGTTTTAATAGACTCAGAATAAGTGCACCAAAGGAGTACAGCTAATGCAAGAAACACGGTAAGGCAGGTAGTATTTCCAATGCCTAATTTCCTTACCAATTGTAGTAAAAATAAATAAATAAAAATAAACAGCCTGTCTACAGGATCCTAACGGATAAAGTGCAAGAAGTCCACCACCAATGTTAAAGCTGATACCAAACCTCTGCCATATAGGCAAGGCAGAGGAGCTGAGACGAGGTGAATTTTGGACCCTTTGGTGAGAGAAATGGACTGGGTGCTCTAGCAGGCTGTTTCCTCCCTGTAGTTGCCTAGTTTTAGTGTGGTTTGGCTTGCACGGTGTTTGCTGAGCGCACCCTCACACCTGCCCAAAGCCCCTCACGCTGCGAGCGTCTGGCCAAGCGGTTCACGCGCTTTGTCTTAGTCTGCGAGAGCCGGTGCGGGGTCGGTGTGCGGTGGCCATCGTGGCAGTTTGATGCCCTCCCGCAGTCTAAAGTCCTCGGGCAGTGGCTTGAGGATCCCGCAGCCTCACTCTTGTCTTTTGCTCTGCTACTGAGGAAGCTTTCCCTGAGCAGTTGTGCTCGGGACTGTAGTTCAGACCCCCTTATGTGACAGCCTGATCCTTTTCCCTGTGCCCTTTTGAGCCTGACGGTGGTACTGGCAGGCTCAGACACGCCATTTCCACTGCCTGAGGCCCCTGTGTGGGATATTCCTGGTGCTGTATGTGTATCTTGATACCACTTGTCTTGGATGTTCTTGAACACTGCCCAGTGACTAAAAGAACAAAAGATTTCATGGTTTTTCTACATTGGTTTTGTGGTTTTCCCCTTTTTTTCAGAGCACCGAAGATGAAAGGGCTCCGCTCATCAGGCCATCCTAGTAGACTTTCCTAACACGTGAGCTTGGAGAATAAACTATTAGAGCTGACCTAATACCAACTACCACTACCCAGCGTTGTCCACTGTGGAGGAACGATCGTGTCAAGTAAAACTGCTTGGGGGTATAGAAGAGAATTTGGAAAATGGTGCAAGGAGGAGACTTTTCTTACCAGCTAAGTTATAACTTAAAAACTATGTTTTAAAACTGCGCAAGATCCCGCTTTTTTTTTCAACACTGCACTGTATTTGTACCTGCACTGACAGCCATAGATGACCATAACCACTATATCAGTGAAAATAAAATGCCCTGATTGATTGTAAGAATGACGCGGGTAAACTTTGCACATGGCCTTAGGAGTGTGGGCTGAGGAGAACCCCTTCACAGGGTACTGAAGGCTACAGTGCCACAGGCTCCCGTGTCACCTGAGAAATTTGCTGTAGGCTGAGTGCTGTCTTCTCTGTAGAGAACTACAGGCTTCTCACTACCACCGTGTGTTGACTGTTAAATCCTTTCACAAGACTGATGTGTAAAGCTAATCCAAAATGTTCACTGAAACTGAGTTAAATGTACCTAGCTATTGTGAGGGGAAAAAGCTGGCAATGATTTCATGTTTTCCTTTTAACCTCTTATCTGTTTTAACCGTGCACAGGACCCCATTGCATGTTAGTGATACATTTATCCCTAATTATTTTTTTTCTTCAACTTACAGAACAAAATGCAGCCTTGTTCTTGTTGGTGGAGGGAACAAAATGGTGTTCTTGTTTTCTCTGATACCTATGTCACATTTTCAACTGTGTGGTTTAATGTGAATGAAGATTTGGCAGTTATATTTATTGTTTAGGATGCAAGCAGACTTCCACATTAAGGTATGTGTATGGCCTGGAAATGCCAAAGCATATTTTTAACGTTTAATTTTTAGAAACAAAAGTATTTTTCCCCAGTGAAAAGAAAAAGAACTGTCGTGGAGAAGTATTCCTATTACATGAAGATAGTGAATCAAATTTTAAAAAGTGTTACTTTATTCAAAATAGAGGCATTGTTTTGGTTAGTCTTTTTGCCTAGCTGGCCAGCGGCTCAGCAGCTTTGCTGGCTTGGAGGCAGTTCCAGCCAGGCAGTTTCATGGTGATTACAGGTGTTCCTTTGCTGCGTTGTTGAAAAGCACCGACCGCAGTCCCAGGCTCTCACAGTAATGCTGGTCTGGAAGGGGATTTTCTTTTTTCCTAGTTCCCTTACCAGCAGTTCTGCTGGAAGAGCTTGCCCTCAAATTATGGTGTTCAGGAAGGGGACAGGGGACAAATGAACCCAGCAGGAGGCAATTCCCTTCCTAAGGTAATCGTTCTGGACAGCTAGACCAATGTGCTGGTATGGGGAGATGCCAAGCTATGGGGCTGCCCTAACCAGCCAAGCAGAGCTATGGGAGAGAGATTTCCTTCTTGAGTCTGGGTGCCCTGTCTTCCCGCAGGATCCCACCGTCCGTCTTAACTTTTGCTTTAATAAATGAGCAGCAAGCTTCCTTCTAGAGCTTTCTTCTGCACCACAGGCGCTTTGGCCAGCGAGGCTTCAGCCACCTCCAAGGCAGGCAGTGGTGACCTCAGGTGGGGGCCAGTCTTAAGGACGAGGGAGCCCGAGGCAAGACAGAGCCTGACCCAGGACTTGAGAGGCGCCAGCTCCACTCTGGGGGTGTCTTCGTGGCACACTGTACCCTCAGTGCAAAGTACTGCCCCTTGCAGCAAGGTACATAAATGTCTTTGGGAAATGGCTACAGCACTTTAGACAGAGCAAGCCTGCTGCTTTGTTGGTATTTTGCTTACTTTTGGGGTTATTAAACCAGTATTTTGCTATCTGCTGCTTTGTAGCAGAATCTTGCCCCCTCTTTGTATGAATAAGACACCAGCCGGGCCGGAGACAAGCTTCCTCACGGAGGTAGGCAGTGCTGGTTTGATGGCTCACACTGTGGGGACAGTTATCACCCTGGGGTTACAGCATTGCTTCTGTGTCACCAGTGCTCTGGGTCTGTCCTTTAACGCACCAGGCGCCCTTTTGTTCTCTATGATGTGTAAGCAAAACACTAAACCCTGTATTTTCCTCCCTTGGGCACATTGTGTGTGTGCGGATGGTTAGTAACACTCATGACACAGGGTCACCGATGTGGCCGCCCAGGCAGGGGCTGCAGGAGGACGCGTGTCCCAGCACGCAGTGTGGGCGTGCGGGGCCGTGCCCAGCCTGGACCGGGGCCCGGCGCTTGTCGACCGTTGCTTGGGCACTAATAAAGGCGACCGTTTCCGCTGCGCCTCGCCGTTATTTCACCTCTGGGCCGCGCGCAGGGGGCGGCGGGAGGAGGGCGGCCGTTGGGACCGTTAGCGCGTGCTTGCGCACGTCACCGCGCGGCGCCGCGCCCCGCCCCTCCGCGGTGGCGGTTGGGACCGTTAGCGCGTGGCTGCGCACGTCACCGCGCGGCGCCGCGCCGCGCCCCGCCCCTCCGCGGCGGCGGTTGGGACTGGTAGCTCGTGGCTGCGCACGTCACCGCGCGGGGCCGCGCCCCGCCCCTCCGCGGCGGCTGTTGGGACCGTTAGCGCGTGCTTGCGCACGTCACCGCGCGGCGCCGCGCCCCGCCCCTCCGCGGCGGCCGTTGGGACGGTTAGCGCGTGGCTGCGCCCGTCCCCGCGCGGCGCCGCGCCCCGCCCCTCCGCGGCGCGGTTCAGGGGGCGCTGCTTGCCCCGGACGTGGCTGGTGCACCCCAGAAGAGCTCCGGCGCGCGCCGCTTGTTTCCAGCCGGACGGCTGCGGCGCCGCGCGCTCCTCCAGTCGCCGCCATGGCGTTCAACTTCGGCGCGGCGGCCGGGGCCGGCGCCGCCAACCCCTCCGGTGAGCGCGGGGCCTGGCGGGTGGGCAGGGCGGGCGCCCCTCTCCCCTCCGCGCGCCCCTCGGCCTCGCGGCACGGCCCCCAACGGCCGCGCACCAGCATCCCCTCCCTCCCTCCCCCACCCGCCTCGCGGCCGAGCTCGTAACGGTCGCAACGGTCGCCTCGGCGTCGCGGGAGGAGGGGCGGCCCCGCTGCGTGTGTCCCCCGGGCAGCTGGGGCGCACGTTTGTCCCTCTGGCGGCCGGTCCCCCCGTCCCATTTATTTATTTATTTATTTATTTATTTTTGATTTGTTGCCCCCCCACGCACACGCTCGTCTCCCTCGTGGGCACAGCAGCAGGCGCAGGGGCGCCTTGCTGTGCAGCCGCGATCCTTCAGGCCGAGCCTTTCTGGCTCGGTGATGCTGCTCTAGGGGTGACAAATGGGTGGGGGTCCTTCCTGAGTGGTGCAAAACGGCATCAGGGATGTGGAGAGTAAAAGACTCTTTTTCCCCTGCCTTTATTTTTTTATTGTTGTTGTCCAGTGACAGCTAAACGTGGCAGTAAAGCGCAGACTGCAGCCTTTTGGCTCTCATTTAGTAAAATTATACTCAGTCAAGGGGGTCGAGCGGTCGTGGCTTTAGTGCACTGTCTGTGGGTGGCTTGTCATTGCTGCTGGCTCCCTGTGGGTTGATGCACGAGCCCTTGTCTGTCTTGTCCTGTCCGGGTGATAGGTACTGACTTTCTGGCTTGTCTGAAGGGCAGAGAGAACCTCTTGGTGCTCGTGCAGGGGGCCGTTGGGTTTACTGAGCCCGCACCCAAGCGGTCAGTCCCTGTTGTCTGCCTCGCACAAGGCCCTTTTCCCGCTATGAGTACCACTATTAACCTATTTTTCTTAGCCCCCCAAAATTTGGGTGCATCAGGTGTCAGATGTGCACGCACCAGGGTGGACAGAGAGAAACTGGGAAGCCACCTTGGTGCTGGCAGGCCCTAAAGGGCTCTTTGTGAGAGCCGGCACTGTTGAAGATGATCCAGCAGCTCTGGTGGTTGTGGCCAGAGCGGACGCCGAGGGCCAGAAGGTGCTTTATCTTCACCCTCCTGGTCGCTTGTGAGATAACTGTACCCGCTGGTACTGATGCCACCCTATCCCACAGTTGTAGGGGGTTTAAAAGCACTAGTAATGGAAACTATGCTTAATTGCATAGAAACTTTCCTGTTTAGCTTTGAAATACGATGGGAAAATTCACTAATGTTTTATACACAGCACAGTAGAGATGCGAGGAGAGCAGATCAAACATTAAGCTTATAGTTGTCCTGCTTGTGTTCAGTAAATGCTTATTAATATCTGTTAACTTCCTACTCTTGGTTTTTAACTATGCCTGTCTTGTCTCTGGTAGGATGGAAAAATATTTGATCTTTTACTTGCTGAACTTTCCTTTTACTTCAAACTAACGTTGCCTTGCTCTTTCTCTGCTTCCCGCTTGTCAGGATTTGGTGGGCTTGAGACCGCAAACTCTACTGCCAGTGGGTTTAATTTTGGGGGTTTCGGCTTAACTGCTAATCCTGCAGTGAATTTTAATATTGGGAATTTTGGTGTTTCCACTACCTCGACTCCACCATTCAATTTTGGTAACAGTCTGGCAAGTGCAGGTAGATAACACATACGTGCTCGTTCTGTAATGAATGTTAATAGCAGGGGTCCAAGAATTGTGTTCTTAACGGAGAGTCTGTATTGAGTTCTAATCATACCTTATATTCAGGAGGAATTGGACAGAAAAGCTCTGAAACTGGAATGGATTGGAATGGGTTTGGGAGCCTTAGTCTTGTAGATTATTCTCCCTATTAATTTCTCAAGAAAAAAAGAAGCTCTTGAGGGGGAAAAAACAAAGATCACTGTCTGCCAAACTCTTAGTTGCTGAAATGGAAACAAATCATGGAATCTTTCCCATTCTGCCTGGTCTAAAGGGAAGCCTCGATTACTTGTGTGAGCTGAAACGTCCGCTGTCTGTACAGATCCGGGCGATGGGGAATAATCACAGATTATTGGTCCCTAGTGCCATGTTTCCTTAGGAGAGATTCTTGGACTGCTGCCCTGCCGTTTTCCATCTTTCCCGTGTCGTCTCATTGGCCTCCTGTTGGTTGTCATGAATGCACCAGTTGTTTCTGTGGAGAAACAGATTGTATACGATCAGCACAAGAGTAACCGGCCTCGCTGGAGCCCCGGGGTCCTGAGTGAGCCCAGGCTCAAGTCCAGGCCGCCTCCCAAAGAGCCTCTGGATGGGGGGTTTGTCCCAAAAGTATTCATGGTCCAGTGTAGATCCCTTGATTCTGAGTGATCGGCTGATATAATCCCATCTTAGATCTTTTCCATTCCACAAGGAAGTGCCTAACTGCGCAGCATCAGGCCCTGGCTCTCGTTGCAGCTGCTCGTATAGGAGTTCTGCTCATTGCACGCATGGTGTCACTGCGCCCCGCGTTGCAGCGCCCTTTCCTGCCCCGTGCACTTGCAGGATCCCACTGCGTTTTCACTTGGTGTGAATGCTGTGGAACTGTGTTTCTTGAGCTGAATTTGAGCAGCTCCCCAAGACAGCTTGGAATCTTATTTTTACTTAGTAGTTTGCAGGTTTAGAGCCTTTTCTGAGGGAGGACACAAGTTGTGAAGCTCTCTACACCTTGTGCTGTGTGATGGTACTGCCAGTCCAGCTCCTCAGTGCCGAGCAGGACTGACCCTTGAGTGTCAGAGGGAACACCTGCTTTTGTCCAGCTGTACAAAGCGTGATACTTGGAATGACAAATAAGTGAATGAAAATAAAATGCAAGTGCAGGTGAGTTTTGGTTTCAGTCTTTTTGGTTTTCAGTGCAGGAGCATGGTAAGTGCAGAAGTAAGTCTCAGGCCGCAGCAGTTGGGTGTGAGTTGGCCGTGGCAGTGCCTCCTCTACCACTGTCAGTCGTCCTGCGACTGCAGGTTGGAGGCAGCAGGGCACGGAGTTGCTTGATCCTGTGCAGCTCGAGGGGCTGAGGATGATGCCGATGAGGCTGGCAGAGGCAGGAGACCCCCAGCCCAGGGGGCATCGCCCGCCCGACAGGAAGGCCGCATCTCCCTGCCCTGCGAGCTGGAAGGGGCCGCGTGCTGCTCCTGCCGCTCCCTTGGGCAACGCGCGGCTTCCCCGCTGCGGCCTGTGCACCTCGGGCTGCCTGCGCGCAGGGAGCGGCGTGGCCGGGACGACGCTGCTGCTCCGGCCCCTGGCTCTGACCTCCTCAGGCTCAGCTTCTGCCTGTTGCTGCTCGTGAGACTTACAGTGTCTCAGAAACTCGCAGGATACCAGATCACTTGTTAAAACAGCTAGCAGCACCACCCTCTGAAGTATTCTTGGGAAGAGATCCTAGCGTTAGGTGTGACCGGGGATGAGGACAGCATGTCTCCATAGGAAAGCACTATCTTGTTAACCACTGCTTTTTTATTATTATTATTTGCATTTCTCGCACACTGCAGATGTGTTGGCTTTCTGGTTTACATTTTCTTTCCCATTTTCGTGGATAACGAACCCGGTCACCGTGATCAGTGTCAAGTCCATGCTTGTAACATTCGGCATCCATTTGTCCCCATCTCCCCTCATCCCATGCGTGATGCACACGGTTGCGAGTCGCGTTTCGCGCGGCCAGGGCTCGCAGCCTGTGTCCATCTCACTTGTGTGCTCTTTCCTTAGGTGCTTTCGGAGGATTTGGGACAACTACCACCACTGCGGGGTCGGCGTTTAGCTTTTCTGCTCCCACCAATACAGGCACCAGCGGTAAGGGCGCACAAAGCTGAAAGCAGTTGCCTTGGAATTAAGCTTGACATCAGCAACACTTCATGTTTTGCAGCCTTCTCCCACTTGGCTCAGTAACTCTTGTCTCATTTTCAGGGCTCTTTGGTGCTACCCAGAACAAAGGCTTTGGGTTTGGCACCTGCTTTGGCACTGGAACTGGAACCGGCTTGGGTACTGGCCTAAGCACAGGGTTGGGCTTTGGAGGCTTCGGGACCCAGCAGCAACAGCAGCAGCAGCAGACTAGTAAGTGTGGCCTTCTGTTTGTTTGTGCCTGGGAACATGGTACTGTACTTGATTCAGACTAAAATTAGATAAGGAGCAGCTGCAGGCTCTGAGTCCTCTGACGTTTTGACAGATGTGTTTTAACAGAGCCCTTAACAGTGAAGGTAGGAGATCGTGTAGTGGGTGAGCACAGAGCTCTCATTTAAAGAAAAAAGAGCTAGCATTTTCTTCTAATTCAGCAGTCAGTAATTACTGTTACTGGGGAAGACTAGATGTAAACGATGCTTTTAATAAAGAACATAGTAGGTGTTGATTTCCCTGTGCAGCGTGCTTGTGCCGCTTCCCAAAACCCGGAGCGGTCCTGCTGGGAACGGGGGGCTGTGTAAGGCAGGAGCTCACGCGAGCCCCGCTCTGTGCCGCAGCGCTGGGGAGCAGCTTGTTCAGCCAGCCCACGCAGACGGCGGTGCAGTCCAACCAGCTCATCAACACGGCCAGCGCCCTCTCGGCCCCGACGCTCCTGGGCGACGAGAGGGACACTCTGCTGGCCAAGTGGAATCAGCTGCAGGCCTTCTGGGGCACGGGCAAAGGCTACTTCAACAACAACATCGCTCCGGTGGAGTTCACGCAGGAAAACCCCTTCTGCAGATTTAAGGTACCGTGTCGCTTGTACATGCCCACCCAGAGCCAGACTTGAGGCTCTCTTGCTAGTTCTGCGACTAAACGTCTCGTTTGAGCTGTGGTGGTTTTACTTGTTAAGAGTAGCCCGAAACCATATTTTGGAGGAAATCTGTGCAATTTTGATGTGCGTTTGAAGGTGTTCAACTCTGCGAACGTGGCCTGTACAGAGCAGAGAGCCTGTGGGTTGTTCTCTGCGAGTGGTAAAGCTGCCTTCATTCCGTGCAGGATATGCTCGGCAGTTACCCCTCAACCCAGTTGTCATGTCAGCGAGGAATAGGTAGCTCCTCATCCTCTACAAATCTCGTATCTGCTGACTCTTGTGCTAAGCTTAGGACTTAGAAGCACAATCAGGTCAGGCATGGCAATAGCCTCCTTTTCTGAGCTCATTCTTTGAAGTGCAAAGTTTCTAATTTGAATGTAGGTCATGCTTAGTTAAGACTTGTTATGAGGCACAAATCAGGAGATTTTTTCATAAAATCTTTGCAAAACTTGCTTTCATGGAAGTTGCTAGGTAGCCTAGAGGTTTCATAACTTTTCTATTTATTGTATTGTTTAAACAAAAAGAAGTTCTCAAGTTAGCCACAGTGTCAGCACAAAGCGTTGTAGCAGGTTGCTTTGTTACATCCATCAGCATCAGACATCCAAGAGGAATGGAGTTACCCAGGGTTTCAAAAGGAGTGAAATAATTCATTTTTACGCAATACCAGTGTGATGTGAGCCGAGGTGCATACAGTCTTTAGCCTAATAGAAGCTTTTAGCCTTTGAATAACTAGGATGATTTTTTTTAAATGTTGTAATTTGACATTATTACATCTGGTAAATAAATCAGGGTAGTTCTTTTAAAACAAAGAAACAGAAAGACAAACAAGTGAACAGAACAATACAGAAATGGTCTCAGGGGTAGTATGGCTTAGAACTGCTTACTGCTTAGAAAATGATGAGCTTGAGTTTTCTGTAAGCTCTCTAGATCACAGTAAGAAAATACTAAGTGTGAATTCCAGAAATCCATAGATGATTATACACATAGAGGAATATACAATCCGTAGAATTGGTGCATTATTAGCATTATTTTAGTGACTGTTTTTCACTGGGACATCTGGAAATTTAATGTTGCAAAACACTTTTGTGTGAATGGATGTTCCCGACTGAGAGCAGTTGTGAAGTGCCACAAACATTCTGCTGAATTCACCTCCCTTCACCAAAGGAGGGGAAGGAATACCTAAAAACTGATTGCCTTGTGAGTGTACTTCCTAAAGTAAGCCTGATTTGTGTTTGCAGTTGTTGTCAAAGCTGAGGAATTTACCCTAACTTAATCTCACCTCTTTAGGCTGCATGGGTATGTGTTTGCTGAGTAACATCTGCCTGTTCTTTGTTGATTTGCAGGCTGTGGGGTACAGTTTGATGCCCAACAACAAGGATGAGGACGGCCTGGTGGTCTTGGTGTTCAACAGGAAAGAAGCAGACATCCGCAGCCAGCAGCAGCAGCTAGTGGAATCACTGCACAAACTTCTGGGAGGAAATCAGACTCTCACTGTCAACGTGGAAGGGGTCAGAACAATGCCGGATGACCAGTATGTGGCCGGGACTCGGTTTTGCCCTTTTCTGCATTGCTCTGTTTTATTAAGGGTCGACCCTATGTTTATTCCAGTGCATTGGTTTGTGCTGTTGTCATGTGGCTACTTTCTCTTGTTTTACTGCGATTTAGTATCTCAATTGGCTAAAGCGAGTTGAGATTGAGCTCGGAGAGGCTTTGGGTTTTGTGGGGTCGGGTGGAAGCTGCCGCCCTTGGCCTCGCTCACGGTGCCCCCTCGCCTTCCTCAGGACCGAAGTCATCATTTACGTTGTGGAGCGCTCGCCCAACGGCACCTCGCGGCGGGTCCCGGCCACGACGCTGCACGCGCACTTTGAGCAAGGCAATATCAAGACGTCGCTGCAGCAGCTGGGCGTCACGCTCGCCATGGCCAGGACGGAGCTGTCCCCCGCGCAGGTGAAGCAGCTCCTGCAGAACCCGCCTGCCGGTACGTAGCCCCGTGCGCCGCTCTGCGGGAGCACCCTGGGATCCGGGATGCGTGAGGAGGAGCCACCAGGCAGGGCCCTCACAAACAGCAGCAGCCGGGGCTCCGGCTCCGCTCTGCCTTCTCCCTGCACCTCAGCACAGCTAGCTGCTCCTGGCACATGGGGCAGAGCGGGGCTACTGCAGAGCTAGTGGGGCGCTTGTTCCTGTGTGGATTGTTGGACTGGTCGTCTGTTGTATTAGGTTTATTGTAGGTGCTTTTGTAGCTTTTTTTTTTTTTCTCTGTGTTTTATGTTTAGTTTGTGTGTTTGTCGGTTGTATTTTGTTCTTTTTAGTGTGGTTGGGTGTCCAGTTTTCTTTTGGGGCTTTTCAGTGTTATTTT